GTCTGGCCTGTTAGATAACAGGAGAGGCAACCTCCCCTGGGTTGTAAAACACTCCTGAAATAGAGTTAAAAACTGGAGATATTCCCTAAAATTAATGGCTATGCATTTGTTTGATTGTTGAGCTAATGAATGCCATTCGTGATAGCTAAAAACCAGCTTTTGCAGTTCTTGGTGATTCTTCTGGTTTGCTTCCCTTGAATGCATAATTTGCTTTTCTTTTTATCCTGAAGTATCCGTGCCCCTCCTTTGCTATTTTACAATCACATTTGCAGCAGGAAGGGTTGGTATAACCCAGAGCGATAGATTTCATAATACATTTAATTAAAGGTGGTATCTGTCAATACTGTAACTGTTTTAATTGGAGGTTCCTCTTAATCTCAGGAAATTTGGGCATCTATTGCATAGATGGAGAAAAGAAAACATTTCCAATATTGCCATAGCAAAATGGGCCAAAGTGGGTATGTTGTTAGTGATTTGGTCGGTCCGTCCATCCATCCATCCATCCATCCATCCATCCATCCATCCATCCATCCATCCATCCATCCAGGAAAACATCAGAACTGATCATGAAGCCTCTTGCATACATTTTTAAATAGCTGCCAACTATTTTCCTAGATTCTTATAATACATCAAGAGCGTCAACATCTTGTCCTTCAACCAGGATGCTTATAGGACATTGTTCAGTTATACTGTTGCAAACTATTTTGTTGCAATCCCAGTTTTACTCAGAAATTCAACTAAGCTTTCTTTGTGTTTGGTCTCATATAGTCTACTAAGCCATAGTTTAATTCATTGTATGCTATCAGGCTGGGCTTGACTCTTAGTAACTAAATGGATAGATTCTCTCCAGGAATAGCTTGCTTACCCAGTGACTACTAAATAAACCATTATGCTCATTATAGCTTAGGATATTAGCCTATTATGTCAGCTCAACTGTTTTGCTTGGTTCGAAGCTTTAAATAACCCTGATTTTAGTGGTTGTTAGGGGCTAACATGCTCTTTGCATCCACAGGGTAAAAGCTGTTTCAGAGGTGATTATGATTGGAAGAGGAGCCAACAGATAAGATTAAAGCCTTCCCTATTCCAGCACCCCCATTCCTTCACTGCTATTTCTCCACTCGAAATTCCTTGCTTTTTTTTCTTTTTGAAGTGTCAGAACCTTATTACATGCAATAAATTTCCTCTGACATTCTTAACTTTTTCTTGAGTATTTATTTTAAATCTTGGAAAAGAGTTTGTGTTGCCACATCAGGATTCTAAAAGTCCTTGCTGCTTCCTAATTATATGGGATTCCTCCTCCCATCCTTTCAAGAGATAATAGACCTTGTAATGCCCGGGTGCAGATTAATAAACAGAGATAGAGACAAATTAATTCCCCTTAGCAGATAAAACAGAACTGGGAAGGCCCAGAGGAAAAGGAATGACTGACTAATCCAAGAAGGATTGCCTATCAATAGAAACAACTTTTCTGAAACGATAAGAAAAGGGAAAGAAAGAGGAGGGAGGGAAAAGAACAGAGATGATAAAAGTGGCCAGCACAGAATGCACTTTTAAAGGATAAATAATAAAGTGAAATTGGTAATAAATCTTTCTTATAGCATTTATTATTTTCTACTTACAATGTTATCTCCTTGTTAAGTGACCATAGTCCTGCTGAAATATTGTGAAAGGATTGCTGTGAAACATAAAAGTTCCACATCCATTTGCAAATAGACAACAGTGAGCAGCCATGTTTCCCTTCTCCTTATGCCCAATATAGAAATGGATTGAGGATATAAAATGGCAGCTGCTCAAGCTGACAATGGAAACTTTGGCTGGATCTGTTGAGACAGAGTTTGCTCCACAACACCTCTGTGCAAATTTGGAAAGAGCTCTAGATAGAACATGTTTGTAGCTTACCTTCCATCTCACACTCACACCCACATTTTTTAAGAAGAAGAAGAAAAATCCAAGTAGCTCAAAATGTTATTTAGGTTCCACTCCCCACTTTAAAGTGTGTGAGGCTGAGAAATAGACATCCAAAGGACATCCCCATGGTTTAATGGAGATTTGAACCCAACATTTTTGACCTAGGTCTGCTATTCTTATTGAGGTGGAATGTGTTTAACCAGGTTGGGTATTGGACTTTGTGAAGGGAACTAGTAATCTTGATGATAAGTAGTATCTTAGCATCATAAAATCTGCATAGAAAGCTATTACAGTAAAGAATGTGAACACAGGTAGAAAGGCTAATAATCTCAGAGGCACTGTTAAGAACCAAAATATCAGAATGAATCTAACCGCCACAAAGAGAGCTAAATAAAACAAACAAACAGTAAAAAAAACCAGATGAAAATAACAGATAATGGAGATGACAGCACTAGAATGGGCTGCTACATTTTTCTTTTTAAAGATTCAGGTGGACAAACATTTATTAGAACAATGTGGATGGTTAATATTAATCTCCCTACCCTGGAAGGCATTGGCCACCTGGGTACTGCAGAGCAATTGGAGTAGATTTTCCCTAAAAGCTTGGCCCAGATGACTGGCAATTATGGAACAGTAGCTGTGGCCACCCTCTTAACACCCCTCCTCCCCAATAATACCGGAAGACCATTTAATTGGGGCAACTCTGGGACAAATCTCCTTCTGTAGGAATGGATGATTCATACTTGATTCAAACAGTGAAGGAGCTGAAATGAAATGCGATAAGCTTTTTTGGCATTGATATCTGTTGGCATCAAGGGGAGAGTTAAACAACCTGATCACTCATCCTCTAATAACGTTTGAGTGACTCTCAGGTTCAGTAAGTTCCCAACATCCATTAGACATTTTATAAAATCATAGCTGTTGAATATCAATTCTTGGGAGGAATCTTTTCCTCTGAATTGAGAAGAGTGGGGGTGGGTGGGTATAAATTTAGAATGTTTTTGAGACTGTAGGTAGATTTTTTTAATAGTTTTTATAATATTAAAATTCATGGAGTAGTATTATAACAGGAGAAGCAGGACAATTGTGATAAACCTGTAGTTTAACCTGCAAGAATCATAATATCTATAATAAGAGACCCTTTCCTCTATCTGTTCCAATTCAGACAGATCAGTTAACCTTGGCCATACAGTCTTTACAAGCATGTGGAAAAGGAACTTGAAGGTTCAGCCCAGGAGGAGATGGTTTCTAAAGTTTGCCATGTACTATATACAGTAACCCAGAGGCAGAATACAATGTTCACTGCTTTCCATATTTCTAGGTCAATACATATTTTAGGTTCCTGACTTCACAGAAGGAAAAAATAACTGGTCAAACTGGCACCTATTACACATTTTACGTTAACTTTCTTCATTCACATCAACTAAAGAATCTGTCCAGCATATCTAGAAGGCATCACTTTGAAGAGGAAGGGTATTTTCACAAATATAATTTTTGTTGCATATATGCTGTGTTACTTAGGGCAGCATTACACCTCCCTTGTTGCTGTCACACTAGTTGGAGGCTTTTTTCTGAGTGCATGCTGCCCTAAATTGTATATACATGCAATACGATACTTATTTTTAAACGTATTTTCCTAGTTTGGTGCCAGTGAAAAGCTTCCGACTCCTACCTGTTGTTGGTGCTATAAGCTTGCATAGAAAGAGATTATTCTGTATTGATGGAAAATATGAGCATTAAAAAACATTTGCATTTTTGAAATACCAGAACTTGCAAGATTAATTGCTTCTCTTTGACCTTTGCTCTTTTATGTCCTGGTTCTAAAGAGAAGAAAATCCCATTTCAACAGAATTTGCTTCCCAGGAAACGTGTTTTGGATTTCACCCTAGTTTGGCTTTATAAAAATCAATGGGAGATGGCTTAATGATTTACTGGGGGGTGGGTGAGGAGGGGAAGGGTAAAGGGAGAAGCCCCAGGTGTGTACCATATTATAAAGAATGGCTGCTGGAGGCAGCTGGAATGCAGGTTTCCCTGCCTTATGTTGGAGGGATTGGATACAAGAGTTGCACCCAGAGTGAAAGTTTGTTTGGTTTCTAACAAAACCAATGGCTCTGCAACATAATTGCTCTGCAAAAAACGAAACCAACTGCAATTCTGTGCGCACAGAATAATTGCCATTGGACTCAATATAATTTGCTTCTTAGTAAACATGCACAGAATTATCCTGTGTGCTTATAACTAATTGCTGCTTTTAACAGATTGTTTTCTTAGCCTGTTTTTCATTTGATTTATATGAATTCCGGATTTTATTTCTGTTTTTATTATATGCCACACTGAGAGCTATTAGACACCAACCCACTAATAAATCTTGGAAATAAATAAATAAAATTAAATACATGTAATTCCTGCTCCAAGCGTCTTTTCAAGGGAATACATCATTCCGAGCATCTTATTAATGCGGAATAAAACACAGAAAAGAGCCATTTTAAAAATCAGTTCCGTACTGAGTGAAAAAGCGGGGTGGGTTTTTTTTTTGGAATTCAGTTCTCAGGTTGTTTGTTTGTTTGTTTTTAAACCAAAAACAATTGGAATCGCCAATTTCTTTGGCTGTTTTCTGACCAGCCTTGCGTCAAAGTTCTATGCACAACATTCAGCGGGATTTATTTACATGGGATTGTGGATCGCCTCCTTTTTAAAGCAGTGGGCGCGCAATCCCACTTCTTACTAAGGAGAGACTGGAAAGTCCTAAATTGCGATAAGCGGTTGTTCGGCATTCTGCACCCTTTCTCTCCGTCCGCCCTCCCCCCCACTTCGCCCGGCCCTCCTCTCCCCGGTTCTTCTTTTACCTCGGCGGGCATGACCGCTTTAAGGGCTAGGCTTGGTGGCGTTGCCTTTTTAAGAAGGCGCCAGCCTCTCGTGGCATCTGGGGGGCCTCCCTTCTCCCGTTCTTCAGTCTCTTCTCTCCTCCTCTCGTGTGCGGATACGGGCAGATCTGAACGCCCCCTAGAGGCGAAAGCCGAGAAGTACTGTGACTAGCAGCAGCCCTTTGAATGTGTGTCTCAGTCTGCCTGCCCGGGAAGTCAGAGCGAGGCTGGAGTTCCATTGGAACCCCGCGCTGCATTCCATTCCCTACCATTCCCTTCATGCTGGGCAGCAGCGGCGGCGGCGGCAACGGCGGCAGCAGCAGCAGCAGCAGCAGCAGCGACACGGGCAAGGAGGCTCCGAACCCCGAGTTGCAGCGTGGGGGGCTGCTTGGCGTGGAATGTAAATGATGATGGCTGGCTCGTTCGAACCGAGCGCCGAGGCAAACTGTAAGTCACCCCCTCGAACTTTCCCTCTTTAGCTCCTCCGAGGATCCGGTTTGTAATATTTGTCGGATTGTACAATTTTGTAGAACGGGGTGGGGTGTGCGTGTGTGTGTGTGTGTGGGGGGGGGAAATGAAGCGCATCGCGGTGTATTTCCCCCCTCATAATTGCGCCCCGTAGCGAGGGGGCGACTCGTTTAGCCAGGGCGACAGCGAGGGAGCGAGTCGCGGCGCAAACCCGGGGATTGCGAGGCTTTCTTCGCTCGTGGGGGTGGAGGAAAGCCCCGCGCGGCTTGTGCCGGGAGAGCTCTGCAGCCCGTGGTTTATTTATTTAATTTATTTATTTGTTTCTTTACGGCGCTCGCGTGCGGGAGCCACAGCGGAGTTTGCTTAGATTGTTTGGCTGGGTGGGAATCGGTCGCCGCTAACACTGCTGCTATTCGGCTTGTGTGTGTGTGTGTGTGTTTGTGCTGCGTGTGTGTTGAGGAAGGTCGTAAATTAGGGAGAGCGCGTCACACACCCCCACACACCCCGGCGTGGAATTGAATGGGATGGGTGGCGAGGGAGAAAGGGGCGTTTTGCCTGATTGAAAAAGATTTCGCGGGGGTGAAAATCGGGCTTAGGGAGAAAACTGGCTCTCAGTTGCTTGCCTAAAAAACGTGGCTGGCAGGCGGGCAGGCATGCAGGCAAGCAGACTGGCTGGCTGGCTGGCTGGGTGCGGGAAGAGTTGACACTGAGACGTGTGGAGCGTTTGCAATTAAAAAAGTGCCCAAAGAGGAAACCGGCAGCCTTTGGAATGGACAAAAAGGGCGTGTGTAGCATAGTAGTTGGCGGCGGCGGCGGCGTGAGGGAAAGCCGCGGAATGGAAAAGCCTGGAATGGAATGCCGCGTGGGGTTGTCACAGCTAAGCGCGGCGCGGAAGGGAAAGCGGCGCGGACGTTGCGGGGAAAGCGGAGCCTCGCTTTTTCTGAAAGGGCTGCAAATGCTCTAACGCGTTTGTCGGCTGTGTGTCGCCCGGGGCGAAATGTGTCTTTTACGGGGAGGCGAGAACTCCTCCTTGGCAACACCGAGCCTCGGAAGGGAGGAAAGGTAGGCAGGAACTCGCCGAAGGTGTGTATATGTGGGGTGTGTGTGTGTGCTTGTGGGGTGTGTATGTATGTGTGAGGAGGAATTGCAGCAGAGCCTGAGGTTGGACAAGAGATAGCGAGGTGCGTGCGTGGCTATGGGCAGCGTGGCACTTCAGTTGCCCCCCACCGCTCGTTTCTGCATTTCCCGTGCGCTTGTAAATTATTTTTCGGGGGAATTTGCTGCGCCTGTTTGCGGCTTGCTCTGCTGTGAAGTTGTTGTGGTGGGGCGGGGGAAGGAGAGGAAAGGAGAGGAGAGGAAAGGAGGACCGGCGGCTTTTTTTTTTTTTTTTTTACAGGAGGTTCTCTGCAAAGCCGGATGGCGCCCCGCTTCTTAGCCTGAGGCTTTTCAAAGAGAGAATCTGGCTTTGGGAAGACGCGGTCTTCCTACACTGACTGACCAAGAGCGAGGTCTGGAGGAGGGGGGGCGGCGGGGGCGAGGTCTGGAGTCGCTTCGCAGTGCGAAAGTGATTTCAACTCCCCTCACCCACCCACCCCCCACAAGCCGCCTTTCTTGCCGGCAGAACGAAGCCGCCGAAGATTGTCGTGTCATTTCCACCGGCGATGTCTGTCTCGGGAGAGGTGAAAAGTTTAGCTGCCGATATATATTTTTTTCGGGGGGGGGGGCGTGAGGGGTGGTGGTGGTGGTAGTGGGAGGGAAGAAAAGGAGACGGTACAGGCAAAGACACCCCCGGCGAAATCGTGCCGATGGAAGGCATCCCCGGAAAGAGCAACGGCCGCAATTCACTGCAGTCTTAAAAGACCTCCGTTTGCCCATTCCCTTCTCTCTCTTCCCCTCCCCCACCCACGGTCCAATTTGGGGCCAGTTCTCCATCTCTTGACTCCAGACTGCCTCACCCGTCCCTAGTTCACCCCTTTAGGTCCCTGGAGTTTAGGAACTTCATCGGGAGAGAGAGAGGGAGGGAGAAGGGGAGAGGGAGAGAGAGAGAGAGAGAGGGAGGGAGAAGGGAGAGAGGGAGGGAGAGAGAGAGAGACAGAGACAGAGGAAAGCCCTGGATGACCCCCCTCTCCTTAATGGAAGCTCCCCTCTTTCTCTCCCTCCCGCTGAAGTTGGAAATAGGGGCTCCCACCAGCTCCCACCAACACATGAATGATGGTCCCACTTTACGTTCTCCCAATGGGGAAAACTGTTCCCCCCATTGTCTTTCGGGAGGGAAGCTGCCTTTGGCTGTCTGCTGGTCAGCTTCCTTAACAACCGGCAGGAGCCATACTCTCCAGCCAACAGCAGCTCTGCCTCCCTTGGCAGCTGGGTGGGGGCTTCCTTGATGGTTACTGCACCAAGGAGTTTGCTGAGGGGCAGTAGTTCTACCCCTTTCACTGAGGTCTGCTCCCAACTAGTTACACACACACAAACATGCATACAGATTTGTGCCACAAAAATGCAGCAGGCTTCTGGAGCCTTTGCATAATGCCCGGAAAATGCACACCTATACACACAGCACCATTCTAAGAGGTTGCTCATTCATGAATTCTTGCTGATTATGGTGCAGTTTAAGTAAAGGCTCTGATGTGTTGCCACCCCAGAGTAAGCCTTTGAGTGTAGATGAGAAATCAGAGCTCTGTTCAGTGAATGAGTGCAACTGTGTGTGTAGGCGTGTAGGTGGTGTTCATAATGCATATGTATAAGCCTTCACAATAAACAAGAACGGGAGGTTGTAAACTACCATGAACCCTCTATGCTATATCCAAAGATCATTTGATTTTTTTTAAAAAAAAGCCCATTACTATCCCATGTAGCAAAATTAGCAGCTTGCTTGCATTTTATTTTAGACTAGCTTTCCTAGAGTCATTGATTGTGTCTCTGGGTATGCATGTGCGTGAAAGTGCATATGAATCTAGCATCCGTGTTTATGGCAAATGTGAGTCTCTAGCACATTTGGACATTCAGATGCAAGCTGAATCCAAGTAATTAAGTTTTTTTTTTTAAAAAAAATCCTTCCTCCTGTCATGCTTGTGTGTACACTAGTTATCCTCTTTTATCCACTTAATGTTTTGATAATCTTGGCAGTGTGTTTATAAATATTGATTTAGCCTGTAGTTTTGTACATACATTCTTGAGATTCAGTCCCATTGGACTCAGAACTTGCTCTAGAGGAGACATGTTTGGGACTGGACTTGGATGTCTATACTCACCTGCTCTGATAGTAGCGATGTAAGATAAGGAGGATAAAAACAGAATTTACATGTGATTAGAAGTAGGAGAATAAATCTAATTAAGGATAAGGGAGAGATTCAAAACTGAATCCCTTTTCCACTCTCTTGTAGCCTGCAGTTTGCAGGGTAGCATCTTCAATGTTTTTTTTAAAATCCTTTTTGGTATGTTTGGAGAAGAAAAGTTTAGATTTAAGAAGCCTTTTAGGAAGCACTTTTCCTTCCATTTGAGACGGAATCTGTAACATTTATTAGGAAACAGTAGAATAGAAATTATACCTCTGGATTTACAAAGGAAGGGGAGTACAGGATGAGCAAAAGCTATTGACTGCCTCAAAGATTATTTGTTCAAAAATACCGTTTCTCTCAGTATTAAAGTCTGATTGCTTCCTGAACAATCTCAAGGTCTTTTGTATGTAGTCACGGGGTAAAATGAATGACTCAGTATCTCCCTTCTGAGATACTGGTGACCAAATTGTGCAGAGCGAGGAAGTCAAACAAAATTAGGCAGACCAAATAAACCAAAAAAACCAACCCACTTTGCATGAGGTGGCAGAGATAATTAAAGTAGGCTATAAAGAAAAGAGGCATTTATTTTTCTTTTAAAAAAAATCTTTTGGTTCAGACTTTGTTTGCATAGTTCAACTTGCTTTATATTAGTAAATTACAGTGCTAGCAGAGCTGAGACAATGTTAAGTCTGCGTGGGTGGGAAGAAAGTTTGGATCCAAAATACTCGCATAACAGAGACATTGGGTGGAATGCTAGATTGGCAATCCATTACCTCCCATTCTGGATCTTTGTTTTCTTGATGCCATTCTTTAAGTTGCCTATTAGGGAAAATAGAGGTGTGTGCTGTGTGTGTGATAGATTTCATAAAATAATAGCCAGAGTGTGGCCCTTGTCTTTCACAGTTGGATTTCTGGATATTTTATATGTGATGTGCTGGTATGGATTTTAGGGATGCTAGACAAAATATCCATTTTACTCTCTTCCACACCTCAATGGATTCTTGTATCTTGTTTGTTTGTATACTTGTATGTACAGTTATCTTCCATGTTTAGTACCATTAATTTGGGGACTTCTGAATGTTTCATTAAAATGGTAACAACAAGATTTCTAGTTATTTAGGGGAAGATATATAGCTATTCTTTAGGCCACATTTATGCCGTGCACGAGATCTTAACTTTAGTTTCAGAGATTTCCAAACTACAAAAAGCAATATTTGGAAGGACATTTGCCCAAGACATTGGGAAAGCTATTGTTAGTCAACTAGCAGCCTTTCCCAACCTGTGCCGTAGATTTTTGTAATTTGTTTGCTGCAATGAACTGAATTTTTGTGGTTCATAAGCCATGGTGAATGGTTGGGCATGTTGTGTGAACCTAGAAAGTTCTAGTTTATTCAACAAAGCATGGTTAAGCAAACTATGGCTAGATATAGTTAATGAAGCATATCAGTATAAAGCAAACTGAAGTTTTTCCCTAATTGACAAAACAGGTTCCACTGATTTTATTTTCTTGAAAAGAAGTATAGTATACAATGGTTACTTTGCCGATTAGAGTGCTTAATTTGTTGTTCTATCGCAGATTTTGAAATGTTCCTGAAAGCTTTTCTGTTAAATCTTGATATATCACCACTCGGATACTTGAGCATTTACCAATTATAACAACAGTACCTTGCCAAGTTATGAGTAAATAGAGGTCTAGATTCT